TCCTGACAGGAGTATCATTGCCAATTCTTTCAAGATTATTGGAGATATAATCTGGAAGAAAAATAACACAAAATCCTATTCAAAAGCCGGAGTTTATCAAATCAAATGTCTACAGTGAAATAACACATACATTGGAGAGACTTCACGCGATCTAAAAACTTGCATCCAGGAACATAAAAGGGACTTGCGGTTAGATAGACATTCAAACTCTATCGTATTACACCGCAACGAGGGGGAATATAACTTTAATTTCACCAATGCCAGATTTATTTAAAAAAGAACATAACGATAAAGTGTGACACACTGACATTCGTATTTATTTATATAGACGTCGATATATCGAGGTATATAGAATAAGTCGATATCCAGATATAAATAGAATACGTCGATATCCAGATATAAATAGAATACGTCGATATAATTAGTGGAATTTGCAATTAATTTCGATTATTCCTGAATTTATTTCCAAGTTATAAAATTTGTTATATATATATATATATATATATATATATATATATATATATATATAGGAGAATATATCCCAGGCAAATACCTAGGTTTCACCTAAACATCTTCAGGGATCTTCAGGGGAAGAACCGGCATTTCCCTGAAGATCCGTTTTAGGTGAAACTTAGGTAGGTTTGCCTACCTAGGATTATCTTAGGTTTGTTTTACTTAGTGCATTGAGAACTTGATGTAGTTGACTTTTGCCATGGATGCTTACCTATGACTACAGAATGAACTCTTCCTAACACTATGTTACTACGCCTCTCAAGAAAGGGTCGAATCAAGCCAGCTTTTCGACTTGATGGTCGAACTCTCTGCTTTTGAGCGAAAGGAACGGACGAGGTTCCGCCGAAGGGCAGAATCTCGTTCGGGGTGAATGACCTACCCTATCTCGTTTTACGAGTTCTACGGGCATTTTTGGCTGAGGGCTCAGGAAACCCCACGATAAAAAATGACCTTGTGTCGCAAACAACCCTCGTGGGGGTGGCTGAATACTGAATCAGCCGAGCTTCTCGACTTGACGGTCGAACTCTCTGCTTTTGACGAGGTTCCGCCGAAGGGCAGAATCTCGTTCGGGGTGAATGACCTACCCTGATCTCGTTTTTACGAGTCATACGGGCATATTTTTGGCTGAGCCTACGGGCTCAGGAAATTGTAAATAAAAATGACCTTGTGTCGCATGCAACCCTCGTGGGGGGTGGCTAGATACCGAATCAAGCCGAGCTTCTCGGCTTGATGGTGGAACTCTCTACCTCTGAGCAGAGAGGAACCCGGACGAGGCTCCGGCGAAGTGTAGAGTCTCGTTCGGGGAGGTTGACCGACCTGATCCCGTTTATACGGGTTCTACGGGCATTTTTTTTTGGCTGAGCCTACGGGCTCGGAAAACCCACGTAAAACTCGGCCTTGTGCCACATGCAACCCTCATGGGTGGGTGGCTAGATACCGAATCGAGTCGAGCCGATAGTAGTTCACTCCAAACCAGACTGACAGTCATACTAACACCTTCCACATCTTGTATTATTATTTCGTGTAATATACCTTCGTTATTTCTACTCTTGTGTTCGTGTTGTTCTTCCTTGGTCCTAACCTAGACCATAACAATTTTTAATCATTTTGTTTTTTTTTCTTTGGGTTTGGAACTTGAACACTGGACGATTGTTTTCTCCTTGGTTTAATGTTCTTGGTTTTTTCTTTTTTTCACTCTCCATTTTTCCTCGGGTACCGATTAGTTCTACTGCAAGTTGATTTATCCGAGTTTTTTTTCAAACGAGTACCACCATATATATATATATATATATGTATATATATGTATGTATGTATCTCTCTGTGTGTGTGAGAGAGAGAGAAAGTATGTGTGTGCGTTTGCGAAAATTAACAAAAAGCGGGAATTCTCTAAAGATATTGGGCAAAGAGTTTCTGACCTCTTTTTAATCCATCTCTGTATTTTTGAGAGAATGAGTTTTAATTTTGTTTTATTTAAAAAAATGGATGATTTCCATTTTGCCCGTTATTTTGTGGCCGGTACGTTTGAATTCTTTCCTTCTTGATAATTTTTTTCCTTCCACTTTGATTTTGCTATCACACGCCTTTTCTTTTCATTTTTTATACAATTTTTTTTGTTTCCCGCTCGTAAATGACATCGGATTTCATTTTCACACTAAGACACAATGTCTCACCTCAGGTGATATTACATTGCTTCCGAATGAATACATACATATATATATATATATATATATATATATATATATATATATATATATACATATATATATATATATATATATATATGTATATCATGTCCTGTATTTTACATGTTCTTTCGCCTATATCTGAATGTTTCTTCTTTATTTCTTTTTACTTTCATCGTTGTATTACATGTCCTTACTGTGTTTGCGATTCTTTTTCTTTTAATCTTCTTCCCAACCTTCCACTTAATGATTTCTTTAATTAATTTTATTGTTTATTTTCACTGTTTATTACCTTCTTTTTTCAGTCCTTCCTTCCTTCATTTCTTTCTTCCTTCCTTCCTTCCTTCCTTCCTTCCATCCGCTCCTCCCTTCCTTCGTTCGTTCCTTCGTTCCTTCCTTCGTTCCTTCCTTCCTTCATTCATTCCGTCCTTCCATCCGCTCCTCCCTTCCTTCGTTCCTTCGTTCGTTCTTTCGTTCGTTCGTTCGTTCGTTCGTTCCTTCGTTCCTTCCTTCCTTCCTTCCTTCATTCATTCCGTCCTTCCATCCGCTCCTCCCTTCCTTCGTTCGTTCTTTCGTTCGTTCCTTCCTTCCTTCCTCCCTTCCTTCCTTCCTTCCTTCCTTCATTCATTCATTCCGTCCTTCCATCCGCTCATCCCTTCCTTCCGTTCGTTCGTTCCTTCGTTTTCCTTCGTTCGTTCGTTCGTTCGTTCGTTCGTTCCGTCCTTTCCTTTCCTTCCTTCCTTCATTCATTCCGTTCGTTCATCCGTTCCTTCCTCCCTTCCTTCGTTCGTTCTTTCGTTCGTTCGTTCCTTCCTTCCTTCCTTCCATTCCTTCCTTCCTCCGTTCGTTTGTTCGTTCGTTCGTTCGTTCGTTCCTTCCTTCCTTCCTTCCTTCCTTCATTCCGTCCTTCCTTCCTTCTGCTTTGTCTGTTTGTCGCCCTACTATGCAATTTCTATTTTTGTTGACTTTAAAACATTTTTCGGTATCTGAAATTGAGCTTTCTTCCTTTCTTTTTTGCTTGCTTTTTCAAACTAAATCAACTTTCTTTCTTTCTTTCTTTCTATTTCAAACTAAATCTATTGGCTTTACTTTCTTTCTTCCGTTCTTTCTTTCTTTCTTTCTTTCTTTCTTTCTTTCTTTCTTTATCTTTCTTTCTTTTGACAAACTAATCCTTTGAATCAACTTTCTTTCTTACTTCTCTTCTTTCATTCCTTCTTCATCTTCATCTATTTCATTTCCTTTTGTATATAATTGCTTTCATTATTTTAAAATTTATAACTCCATCATTTTCTATTTATTGCTTTAATTTAATTTTTAAAATTTCATTTCTGGTTACCTTTCTTTCTTTTTTCTATCTTTCTTTTCATATTAAACTATCTATCCGACAATTTGCCCCCCTTTTCCTTCATTTACTTAAATTTGTTTGCTTTCTTTCTTATATCTTTTCTTGGTTATTTTTTTTTTCTAATTTTGGATTCTATTATATTTTCATTATTCTAAACTCTGCCTGTCTTTTCCCCTTTTTCTTTCTTTTTCTTTTCTTTTCCTTTCATTTCTTTTTCGTTATATTTCGAACTGCTGGACTTATTAAAGCTTTGATGGGGACGTATTTTCCCCCCAATGTCACTGCTCTCATCAACGCACACGCTTACACTGGAACAAAACCAAATAAGTGGAATTGCTGCCCACCCCCACCAGATCGATTTCCGTTGATACAAATAGAAACATTTTAAAAGTCAAAAAGAGGGAGCGTTATTCAGACTCTCTCATCATTCGTCTGCATCGTTCCAGTCTTAGAAAATCGAAATGCCAATTGCACTGCAGCAAACTGATTGAGAAATATCTAAACTTCCGGTTTTATACAAGCACTTTCTCAGGTCAGATGATTTTTGAATGCCTCCGAGCGAATGAAACCGGAAGGTCTTAGTGAGGACAGACTTTCAAATGAGATTGACTGTCGTGCTGATTATATGTTGAACACTGAGAACAATTCCAGAAACCTTAACGTTTTAGCAGTATTGACGGCCTAAATGAACCCGTACATTTTTTACTTTTTTTAAGAATGTGTAAGCAAACGCAAAAGCAACAAGGCAAACAACAAGAATGAACACAAAACATTTTTATAACACACAAAGAATATTTATATTTATATCTGTAATGATGTTTTAGGATGTTATAGGAGTATAGGAGTTACTTCCCTTTGTCTGGAATTAAAGTCTTTACTAATGAAATATTTTTTTATCTGAGCTCATAAAAAGTTGAATGAACTTGCCGCTCAAAATGTTCACTGTGAGAGAGTTGAAAGAATGTTGTAAAGCTGAAAATATGTTGATGATTGTAATGTTTTAATGTTTTTAATTAAGTTTCGTACGTACGTGTATGTGTGCGTGTATGAATATGTTTTCATAGCGTCCGCCCGAACCGGGGTCGGAACGCGATTTCTTATACAGCTACATTTTTGTAATCGAAGAGAAATCAAAGGAGAGAAAAGAACGAACTTGTGTCTGACATTTATAATCAACGTAATCCCGTGATCGGCTCCGGAAAGACAGACAGAATTTGGCGGAATGTTTTTTTAGTCAGGTCAAGAACTAGGCCGATGTTATTCGGACGTAGTTGAGAACATGATTTAAATATTAACTGACCAATTAGAAGTTGAGATTTTCTGAAAATATGTATGAAGCTGGATAAGCTCTGTAATCCGCTTTTTTGCACAGATTTGCACAAAAATCTACATTGATGAAGTAGCAGCTGGGTATTAAAACATAAAGATTGTAGAAACCCGTAACCCTTGGGAGAATCGATGTCATCCAAACAGTAAGAATACAGAGGAGAGTAAAGGAGAATTAAGAAGATAGGGTCTCAATTGACCTCCAAGGAGAAAGCATCAGTTTCGTCTAGGGAAAAAAAAATTCAATGAGTACAGAACCAACAGCAACAATTATTATTATTACCAACAATAACTATCATTATTATTATTATAATTATCATTATTATTATTATTATTAGTAGTAGTAGTAGTAGTAGTATCAACAACAACTATTATAAATATTATAATTATAATTTTTATTATTATTATTAACAACCACACCTATTATTATAATTATTATTAACAACAAGTATTTTTATTATTAATAACAACAACTGTTATTAACAACAAGAAATATTATTATTATTGTTAACAAAAACTATTATTATTATTACAACAGCAACTATTATTATTATTAACAACAACAACTATTATTATTATTATTATTAAGAATTATTAGTATTATTAACAACAACTATTATTAACAACAACAAATATTATTATTATTAACAAAAACTATTATTATTATTATTATTATTATTACAACAGCAACTATTATTATTATTAACAACAACTATTTTTATTATTAAAAACAACAATAGCTGTTATTATTATTAACAAGAACTATTATTATTAACAACGACAACAGCTATTATTAACAACAACAAATATTATTATTATTAACAACAACAATTATTATTATTAACGACAACAACAACTATTATTATTATTATTATTATTATTGTTAGCAATAACAGCAAATGAAGGAGAAAGTAAAAAAAAAAAAAAGCAGAATACTACAGAAGTGTGCTTCTGATGTTAAATACCGAATTGAATTCCCAAAACACAATATCAGCCATAAACCCTTTGACTGTTCCCGTGATGCACTACAGTTTCAACCTCCTTAAGTGGACCACAGCTGACATTAAGCGAATGGATGTCAAAACGAGAAAGATTCTCCCTTTCCACAATATGCGTCATCCTAAGGCTAATGATGATCGTCTGTATGTTCCCAGATCCGAATGGAGGCAGAGGATTGGTTTAACTAGAACTGTCTTACAAAACCACAACAATCGGTCTTCAAAGAAACCTGGTTACTACAAAAGACTGAATGATGAGCTTTGTCAAAGAACATGAAAGAAATAAGAAACTTTATTCAGCAATAAAGGAAACCAAGAAATTCAAAAAAGGGATTTCAAGTGGACGAACAAGTACAAATAAAACATAATACAATTACTGCAGCGGTAAAGAATTTAAAAAAGAAAGCTAAAGCAAACGTAATGTACCAAATGCAGAAACGATAGCCCTATCGGGCTCTTCATGTTCAAAACACTGCCCATACCAAACAAGATGATGTAGACACACCCCAAACCCACCAGTCGTTACGTAGTGCAGAGTTTAAAAGCAGAAACCAAAGGTTTTATTTTTGCTGCACAGGACCAATGCCTGCTAACTAGAAATTACCAAGCCGACATACTGAATAATTGTGTTGGCTCAAAATTTAGATTCTATGATAAATATCCAGAAACAATTGACCATCTTGTATGAGGTGGCACTCAATTAACACCAACTCAATATAAAACTAAGCAGGATAGAGTAGGCCAATATCTCCACTGGAAAAATATACAACATTTACGGGAAAGATGAACATCATCAAGACCAAGTTATAGAAAAATTGTGTGAGACTTTACAATACACACAAAATGAACAATCAAAGCTAATCGCTCAGATATCGTGATGAAAGACCACAAGAACAGAATGGGGTTTCTTATTGATGTGGCACTTCTTGTAGACTGTAATGTATCTTTGAAGATCTTCAAAAAACATCAAAATCCAAGTAGACATCATAAAAATGTAGCAAATGAGGACATCAATAATTCCAGTAGTAGTTGGAGCACTCGGATTAATTTAAAATGAAAAGATCCCTGGCACCCCATGACTTAAAGAAATAAAAAGAATTGTACTCAAAAGTACAGCTCACAAATTACGAAGGAGTTTATCTATGCATTTGTTTCTTTGTTTAGCGGCATATCGATACCTTATGGGTCATTTAATTTCGAAATTTAATTTTCTTGGGAGCATTAGTAATTTGTTTGAAAAAAAGTCTTTTGCTGGTATTTTTTTCTTTTGCAAAAATGTATTGCTGATAATATTTTTTTTCCTTACAGAATATTTTGCTGGTAATTTTTTTTTTAATATGAAAATGTATTTACGGTATTTCTACTATAAATATTTTTATACTTTCATAATGTTCGACCCCATTTTTTTTTTGGCGGGGGAGGGTAACTATTTGCCCATCGATAGGATCTTAACTGGTGCTAACACCCCGGGCCATGGTGGTCCTGGAAACAGCAGCAATTAAAAGATGGTTCCCCCGCTCATCAAAACCTCCAAATATTCGATCAGTGAACTTGCTGCTGTATGTAGTTTATCGTCATACTAAGGACGGGCCTTACCTATGTAAAATCTGTGTAGGTATTTTTTTTTTACGGAAATAGGAAATATGTAGCGATTTCTGAACTTAGGTCTCTGGTTGGGACCCGGAAGGAAATGTGTATACAATAGAAATTAAAGGAAATAATAATAATAATAATAACAGCTCGTATACTAAGGAACGATGTCTTAGTGATTAGCTTTAATTGTTGTCTTTGTGTATTGTAAATTTCCATAAAATTCTTACAGGTACTGTCTCTGCAATTGGGTCTGGGTGATGTTCATACCAGTTTCTTGCAGTTTCCTCTCCGAAAAAGTAGCAGCTATTAGCCCAAATCTATCAGTGGGGGCTATCACTGTGCAACTTGATACAGGACGAACAATTGTTTCTGGATTTTTATCACAGAATCTGCATTACGGGTTGACATCATTTTCCAGTTTATATGCTTGGTAATTTCTAGTTAGCAAGCATTATCCAAGAGAAGCAAGAATAAAACCTTCAGTTGCAGCTTTTAACATTGCACTGCGTGACAAATGATAGGTACGGGGTTTATCTACCTGAACTTGTTTGGTACGGGCAGAATACTGAACATGAAGAGGCTTCTCTTGCCATCGTTTCTGCACTTGGTGCCTTGCATTTGCTTCATTGTTTAGGTTCTTTGCCGCTGCAGTAAGTGTATTATGGTTTATTTGCATTTCTTCACCCACTTGAAATTATCTTTTGAATTTAATGGCTTTCTTTATTACTGAATAAATTTTCGTATTTCTTTCATATTCTTTGACACAGATCATCATCCAATCTTTTTTCCAGATATCTTTGAAAACCGATAGTTTTGGTTTTTTTAAGACAGTTCTCGTTAAACTAATCCTCTGCCTCCTTCGGATCTGGGCACATACAGACGATCAATACAATCCTTATGGTCATGCATGCGGTG